ATTCTTCATTTATTAAAGACAACGACTTGAAAAGCCAGGAAGTGACCTGTGGTACCTTGATTTTACTTGATATAGCTTTTCTATCTAGTCTTCTTAATTCCCACCAAGTGAATGGGTTGTTGTTGTTGTTGTTAAGTGCCATCGAGTCGGTTCCGACCCATAGCGACCCTGTACAGGGTTTCCGAGGGTGTAAATCTTTACGGGAGTAGAAAGCCTCATCTTTCTCCCGTGGAGTGGCTGGTAGTTTCGAACTGCTGACCTTAAGGTTCGCAGCCCGATTCGTAACCACTACGCTACCAGAGCTCCTTGGGACCACACAAATAAGGTACGTAGGACTCTAAGGCTGGTATTGGTTAGTTTTTAATTCCAGCTAGGCTTAAAAGGAGCCATCTTAGATGCAGAGGTAGAAGATCCCAGGACCATCAAGAAGGAAGAACATGAGAAAATGTGATGGCAGATGTGACAATAGAGGTGACAGTAGAGGCAGTGGCAGGCAAGGACAGTATAGGAGAATACCATTACACTGGTTATCAAAAAGAACATTTCAAAATCTATCTTGAAGTACAATGCTCTGTGATAGGATAATATCATATGTGTACAAAGAAGACCAGCTAATATCACTATTATTCAAATATATGCACCAACCACTAAAGCCAGGGATGATGATATTGAAGAAGTCTACCAACCACTTCAATCAAAATTGATCACACATACAATCAAGATGTATTGATGATTACTGGTGATTGGAGTACAACAGTTGAAAACAAAGAGGAGTGATAGATAAGTAGTTAGAAAATATGGCCTTGGTAATAGAAATCATGCTGGAGATCACATGATAGAATTTTGCAAGACCAATGATTTCAAATTTCAAATAGCATTTTTAAAAAGTTATATAAAACACACCCATATACACGAACCTGACCATATGGAATACACAGGAATCAAATTGACTACATCTCTGGGAAGAGACAGTGGATAAGCTCAATATCATCAGTCAAAACAAAAGGTAGGGACAAACTGTGGACAAACCATCAATTGTTCATATACAAGTTCAGAATGAAGTTGGAACAAATTAAAACATCTCTGAGTTTTAATATGACCTTGAGTACATCCTGCCTGAATTTAGAGATAATCTTAAGAACCGATTTGATACATTACACACTAATGTACAAAGACCAGAAGAACTGTGGAATAACATCAAGAACATCATAAAGGAAGAAAGCAAAAAAAGTCATTAAAAAGACAGGAAAGAGAGAGAAGACAAAATGAATTTCAGAAGAGACTCTTGAGCACAGAGAAGCCATAATGAATGGAAGCAATCAGGAGGTAAAAGAGCTAAACAGAAAAATGTGAAGGGCAGCTTGAGAAGGCAAAGTAAAGTTGTACTATGAACTGTGCACAGATCCAGTGTTAGAAAACCAAAAGGGAAGAATATACTCAGCATTTATATAGATGTAAGAGGTGAAAAAAAAATTCAAGCCTCAACTTGCAATATTGACAGATTCTATGGGTAAAATACTGAATGATGCAGAAAACTTCAAAAGAAAATGGAAAGAAAACACAGTTACTGTACCAAAAAAAGACGGTGGATGTTCATACATTTCAAGAGTGAGCATATGATCAAGAACCTATGGTTCTGAAGGAAGAAGTGCAAGCTGCACTGAAGGCATTGGTTTAAAACAAAGCTTCAGGTATTGACAAAATACAAAGTGAAATCGTTCAGCAAACTGATGTAGCTCTGGAGGCACTCACTTATTTATGTCAAGACATTTGGAAAACAGCTACCTGGCCAACTGATTGGAAGAAATCCATATTTGTGCCCATTGCATAGAGAGGTGATCCAACAGATTGTGAAAATCATCAAACAGTATCAAGAGAATTGCTTAAGACAATTCAAAATGGATGCAACAGTATATTGACAGGGAACTGCCAGAAATTCAAAAAAACTGCCAACACTGTTCAGAAGAGGATGTAGAACTAGATGTTAAAAGGATCTTGGTTGAAAGCAGAGAACCCCAGAAAGATATCTACTTGGACTTTATTGACTTTAAAGGCTTCTATGGATAACATTTAAGGAGCTCTGGTAGCGTAGTGGTTACGAATTGGGCTACTAACCTCAGGATCAGCAGATTGAAACTACCAGCTGCTCTGCAGGAGAAAGATGAGGCTTTTTACTCCTGTACAGATTTACAGCCTCGGAAACCCTGTACAGGGTCGCTATGAGTCAGAACCAACTCCACAACACATAACAACAACAAATGGATAACAATACCAAGAATGGCACCAAACCAAAGAATACCAAAGAATACTTAATTGTCCTTCTGAGAGACCATTACATAGATCAAGAGGCAGTTGTTAGAACAGAACAACAGGATATTAAATGATTTTTAATCAGGAAAGGTGTATGCCAGGACTGTATTCTTTCACACCATATTTAGTCAATCTCTGTGCTGAGCAAATAATCTAAGAAACTGAATTATATGAAGAAGAACGTGGCATTAGGAATAGGAAGACTCACTAACAAACTCTGATATGCACATGATTCAACCTTGCTTGTTGAAAGTGAAGAGGACTTAAAATACATAGTAATGAAAATAGAATATTACAGCCTTCAGCATGGATTGCATCTCAATGTAAATAATATAAAAGTCCTCTCAGGTAGACCAATAAATAACATCATGGTAAACGTAGAAAAGTTGGAAGACCTCTTCATTGTGTAAAATAGCAAAGATATCATTTGTAGGACCAAAGTGTGCTTGACTCAAGTGAAAATGGCATTTTCAATTTCCTTATATACTTATTGTTGTTGTTATATGCTGTGTAGTCGGTTCCGATTCATAGCAACCCTACACAGGGTTTCCGAGGCTGTAAATCTTTACGGGAGTAGACGGCCTCATCTTTCTCCCACAGAACTGTTGGTAGTTTCGAACTGCTGACCTTGCAGCTCGCAGCCTGATTCGTAACTACTATGCTACCAGAGACATGTAGAGGTTGGAAAATGAATAAGGCAGACTGTAGAACAATCAATGCATTTGAATTATGGTGTTGGAGAAGAATCATGTTCTGCCAGAAGAACAAATGTACCTGTTGGAAGAAGTATGGCCAGAACGCTCTTTATAAGCCAGGATGGTGAAAATTTGTCTCTCATACTTTGGATATGCTATCAGGAGGGACCAGTCCCTGGAGGAGGACATCATGCTTGGTAAAGTGGAACATCAGCAAAAAAGAGGAGGACCCTCAATGAGATAAAACGACACAATGGCAGCAGCAATGGGTTCAAATGCAACAACAATCATGAGGATGATGCAGGACCATGCAATATTTTGTTCTGTTGTACATATATATGGTCGCTGTGTGTCAGAACCTAATCTATGGCACCTAAAGCTAACACACACACTGTCATAATCATCAAACATTTACTGAACATAGATATTTAAAAGAGACTTTAAAAAGAAGCTGCTTTTCCCTGTTGTTTTCTTATTTATAAAGATGAATAATGAAACAGTGAATCATACATTTGTAATCACCTTAAACATTGGCTAGGGATGTGAGGCCAAACTTCATAGAGGTGAACCTTTTATTGGGTTTTGAAGCGACACACTATAGAGGCATTTCTGGAATGTGGAGAAATTCAAACAGAGCCACGGAAGTGGTTTGTTTGTGGGAAGTAGATTCATAGAACAATATTTACACCAGTATTGAAACCAGTGGAAGGTAAGTGCTGCATAAGAGGAGGATAGTTAACAGATTTGCATGGTACAGCCTGTGGAAAAGTTTGAATATCAGGAGGAGTTTAAATTTTCTCAGCAATTTAATAGTGAACTACTACTAAAGGTTATCTGAACTTGGGCAAATTCTTGACATAAATCAGTGTAAAATAATGATATGTATGGCATAATGCACTAGATGGGTCCTGGTGTGGTGCTGTGGGATGAAGCACTGGACCACAAAGATGGTTTAAACACTAATGTCAGTTTGAACCAAAGGTCAGTGGTTCAAACTCACCAGCCTCTCCTTGGAACCTACTCGATGAAACTTAACAACGATAACAATATAATAATATTGTGGGAGGAAAAAAGGTGGATAAGACATAGATTCTGCTCTAAGGGAAATTTCAGTTTAAGTATGTGTCTATGCACTAAAAAGTCATTAACAGAATAATTTAGTTGTACTGAAATGACAAGGAAATAGATTTTAGGACCAGTATATTCCATTAATAAAAATAATTTCATATCAAAATCAAATTAGTCACAGGAACATAAAAATAAACTATAATGCCTAAAAAGAGGTAAAAAGGGTGAAAAATTACTTTTGCTTCTATATATTTTTTTTTTGTTCTGAAGTGGAATTTAGTGTTTACACATTGAATCAATTAGAAAGTGAGAGGAAGAAAGAAGTCTCTGTTAACTTTTAGAGACAAAATAAAGTGCATTTAGCACTGAAACTTTTTTTTGTTTTGTTTTTTGTTTTTTAAAGAAAAGCCTGTTTTAATAGCATATACAGCTCACTTTTTTAGTCAATTCTGACTTATAGGACGGTGTAGAATTGCTCCTTATGGTTTACAAGCCTGTAAAACTTTACAGGAGCAGTCAGCCACATCATTGTCCCATGTACAGTTTAGTGAGTTTGAACCACTACCCAGTGCTAACCCCATGATGCCATCCAGGCTCCTTCTATCTAGTAAGGAGGATATAGATAGATCCCAGTATAATACTCAAAGCAAATGCACTCTTCTCAAATTGTTGAAGTCCCTATCTGAAAGTGCCAGAATAACATAGACATTAAAAATGACTCAAATCTTAATTCTCCAGTGATCAAAGTTTGATTTCAGTAAGCAAAATTTTTCCTAAATTTATTTTGCTATTTACGTATCCACAGACCCTCAGTATAATGATTTCACAGGTAAGAAGCAGTTATATCGTTTTTTTCTTAAATACTGAATGATAGATAATACACTGCACGATTCTGTAGAAAGGATTTGGGGAGCAATCTGAACTCACCACACACTCTCCTCGCACACATATGCTGTATGGATCTTTGTAGGAACAGCGTGTTCCATCATGCACTAGCTGTTTCATATAAGCAACATCTCCAGTCTCTTTGGATTGGCAATAAAGGTGGCATCTTTTCTTGGCTGCATAGTATGGAGGGTAAAATTAATGATTCACATAAAATGGCATGTTGAATAGCATATCCTATTTTGTTTTTTAAATATAAAGTTGTCATTGTGTTTTTTTGTTGCTTTTTTTTTTTTCTTTTCTTTTCTTGTAAACACAAGGGATACTGTACAAATAAATAAAATAAGGAATAAGAGAAAAGTCTGCATATTTGGCACACTTACTTTAACCAGAGTGATCATGTAATTTAGCATTCAAAGTGGGATATTTATAGCGTGAATGGTAGCTTTATTAATAATTTTGCAGGACCAACAGGAATAAACTGGGACTGTCCCAGGCAGACTGAGTTATAAGCCAATCTAAAATTTAACCAGTTTGGAATAAATTTTCATTCAAAATCTAATTGGTTTTAACGGCTATTAGAGGGCTGAAAAAGCTTCTCTCTGATTTGATTCACTCACATAATAGAGCTTTTGCTTCTGGTCGGGTCTCCTTAATTAAATTTATTATACATTATGCAATGTATTTCATCAAAATAGATAAAATATACTACATTTCTTTTTAATAAACTGCAACTTTGGATTTCAACATGCATGCACCTTTCCTATAAAACAGTTTTGAAACTGAAATTAGTAACATATTATGTCACATGATAACCATGAAACTGTATTCTTTTATTCAGGGGTAAGAATTAAAACATTATAATTCAGGGGTAAGAAGTAAAACTTCATAAATGAATTACAAGTGTATATATAT